AAGACAGTGTCTTCAGAATCCCTTCTCTTACACGGTCGCAAATGAAACATTCCTTTATAATTAATTTTTTTTTAAGCAGCGAAACTTGTTTTTGAACAAAATTGCTAAGCAGCTAATCGCAAATCCCCATACCAATCGGCGCCCGAAATTACCTTATATGATCAAAATTTAAATTCTTCTTCATCGCAAACCCCGCTCTCTGTGCAAAGGTCTCTCCATCCTTGCCCTGCCTCTGCTTCGGCTGCCTTTGCCCTTCTTTACGGAAAACATCGCCGGTTATCTTTCCTTGCAGCCGGCTGGAGTCAATTCAAGGTTTACCTTCATTTGTTCCGATTGTTTATCTCTACGTTTGATTTTCTAGTCCTGCTTTAGATCTGGGTTTTCCCTTCTACATGCCTCTGTTTTCATCGTTTATTTAGGATACTTTTCTACTTCATTTCCATTTCATATTCTCCTTTTGATTCTCTTATCCATCTTCAAATTCGAGTTTTCATGGTCTTTTTCCATTCGATTTCTATTTCATTTTTTTTCTACTTTTCTCTTGATTTTGGGTTAATTTCTTTGGTCTCATTCTATTTGTCTGGTTGGGAGATTGAGCAAATTGATTTTTTATTGTTGTTGAAATTCCAATTTCAAGTTGATTGCTTTTTTTATTATTTTATTTTTAATAATCAAATTTCAAAATGAAGAATTTGTTGGCTACTTGGTCTCATTTTTTATACTGCCAATTCAAGCCTGAAATTCTAAAGGAAGTAATTTATGCTTTTAAACTCTGTTTGTGTGATAAGTTAACATGTATCTCGTAAAATGATTTAGTTTAGGATTACTTTAGAATTATAATAATGAATGGGTTGAGCAATTTAAATGCGAAAATGTAGTGTTCCCCTCCAAAAAATTTTTTTTTTCAAACTTGTGAGAGAAAGATTTTGAAGACGACGCTCGCTGGATGTCTTGCTCCATGTAGTAGGAAACAAGCATTGGTCTGCTTTCTTCTTACCATCGTGTAAAATTCTGTTGCATTTAGGTTTAGCTCCATCTTGCAAACTCTCCTCTGTAAATTCAGAACTGTACCTTTCTTAATTCAGCTCCAGAATCCCCTCTTCTAGCTTCGTTTTTGAATTATCAATTGGATGATTTGAATTTGATTGAACTCTTGTCCTTGTTTACTAATTCTTTGTTGATTCTGCAAGTTATGGTTTTTCTGGATGTGGGTTTTTGACCAAGTTTTGTGTTTTGTAGGTTTGGTATCTCGTAGAAGCTGAAATTTAGGCAATGGAAGGGATGGAGCTGTGGAAGGAGCAAGTGGAGGTGTGGAGGAATCAGTTGGAGCAATGGCTGCATCAAGCAATTGAGTATTCTCACCAAATACCCCCGACTCAGCTTTACATTGCAATAGCTGTCTTGGTTGTAACTACCCTCTTGCTTCTCTCCAGTAAGCCCTCATCACTTTGTAAATGTTAACCTCCATGTATAATCATATGTAGTGCTACAATTGTTAATTTTTTTTATCTATAGTTATATCTTAGCAATGTTGGAAATGCAAGAATTATGTTTTTCAAGGTACAATTGGAGTAAAGTTTTCAATTTTAAATACATAACTTGGTTTAAGCAGTTTAATCAGACAATTACCATTTTGTCAATAGTGATGATTTTCCTACATGTTTAGAATGAACTCAAAGTAAGTGACTTAATTTAATAACTCAAAAGTTGCAAATCCTGAAGTGGAAATCTGTTTTGTTATGCTTTTGAATTCTCATTTCTGTAGATGTTACTTTTTGTTGCAATATCTTTTTAAGGTTGTGTAGAGTTCTTAGCTTTTATTTAGAGGCCTTAATCTGGGTTATTTTGTTTCTTTATGTGATAATGTGAGTGTTGAATTACTTTTTGTAATCAAATTGTTTATAAGATCTTTTACTTGCAGTTCGCTTACTCAAACGCACAACATCTAATACCATTGTACTCACTGGTCTTACTGGGAGTGGAAAGACAATTCTTTTTTATCAAGTGAGTATTGCAATTATTGGTTGTTTCATTTTTTTTCCCTCTTGAAAATATTAGCATAAAACATGTTGATGTGAAGAAGGTGATGATAATGGTGTCAATCACGCAACTTTCAACTTCTTAATAGGGTCTTGCATACGTGGCAGTTCTAATTTATGGTAGCATGTAGAGATTTAAAGATGATTTGAATTGTTTGATGCCTGTATCCAGCTTCGTGATGGGTCTTCACATCTTGGTGCTGTTACATCAATGGAAACGAATGAAGGAACATTTCTGCTACATTCTGAAAGCTCTAAGGTGGGACTCGTCTTAACATGGCATGCTGCATTCTTAATCTGTTTGCCTAAATGTGATTATGGATTAGATGTTATATCTTTTCACGAAAGCATTGACTTTTGCATCATTTTCTTAATTTGAACTGGTGCCCATCTCTCATTTATGATATTATATTGTCCTCTCCTTGACAGAAGGGCAAAATCAAACCTGTTCATCTTTGTGATGTTCCTGGTCATTCTCGTCTCCGAACCAAGCTAGATGAGGTCCTGTCTCAAGCAGCTGGCATTGTGTTTGTTGTGGATGCTTTGGAATTCTTACCAAACTGCCATTTAGCTTCAGAGTAATGACTAGCTAAACTTTGTAGTTAGTTAGGTTTTTTTTACTTTTTTTTTTTTGGATAATTAGCACACAAGAATACAAGATCTTTCTCTCAATATATTGTTAAGAAACTTAATTATTTTTCTGCAACAGGTATCTCTATGATATTTT